ATATATTTGTAAAGATATTGCTAGTGCATCCGAGAAGATAACAATCGCTAACATTGCTATTGATAAAAGAAGAAGGGATGAGTCAGTGTCGAAATATATTATCTGATGGCGTAATCTAAGTATAAAATATGTGCAGCAACTTAAAGAAGAACACGTTGTGCAGCTATTAATGGGAAACATCGATGATAAGATGCAATCATTCCTGTGCATGACTACCATCACCATATTTCAAGACCTTATGGATAAAATGGCTAAGTTTAAGAAATTGAACTTGTCCAGATCAGAGAACCATTCTGATAAAACCAAAAAGGCCATAGCCTCGAGAGCCAGAAGAGGTGAGTCCGACTCTATGTTTTTCTCTAGAGCCGATAAAGAAGATATTATGTCTTTTACTCATAGATGATATGTTGTATGTATGCATATAGTTGGTCATAGGGAGGATCCGACATTTACTGCATATTGCTCGTTGTATGTTGACTTTCAACATACATAGGTAACGACTTTATTCATCTACGGCTTCCCCACTATCGTTGCTTGAATGTGGGCATAGTGTTTATCATTCACCGATCTATAGATTATTGTGTTATATGTTGGCCTCTGTTGTTGCTTGCAAGAGTTTGGTATATTATCTTGCAAATTCACATTTGAAGATAAGTTCTTTGTTGTATATTTGTCTTCTTTGTTTGTGGACAACATAATGCATTCGTATAAAGGAATCATCTTAACCATTGCATGTCAGCCCTCATTGTTCACAGAGAACTATTACATTCTTCCATGAGTAGTTGATATTGATTATAAGGGACTTTCACATCCTCTTGCATGGCTCTTGTAAATTTCACACCACAGAAATCAAACTCAAGTGACATTGGTTGTATGAGAATTACATTTTCTTTGACCTTTAGAATGCACCTTTCATCAACAGCTTATCGTATGTTAACTCCCTCTGCTACTTGTAAATGATGGCTAGCGAGGTATCATAATGTTTCTTACATATCAACTTCCTTCACCTCTGAGGGACTTGTGCATTTGTTGATACTTGGTTAGTAAGGACGTCTTTGTAGTCACTGTATGCCTACTATCATCATTTGCAAGAGCTTAGCACACTTGTATGTAGCTTAGAGGCGTCATATGTTTGTAGACAACTACATTTGCTACACATCTTTCACATTCCATATGTAAGTATATCGCTATGTATTTTCTTGTTACAACTCATATGTAGTTCGTTGTATGTATTACAAGTCTTTTGTCTTCGAATATGATATTTGTAATATGCATAATGAATATGACTATCTTCCTTGTTAGTATTTGTATCTCAAACAACATGAAGACTTTTAATATTTTTGAAAAAGTTCAAGTTGTCGCTCGTCGTTACATGCAAGAGTCAAGAGTATTTGATGTAGGCAAGGGGGAGTCAAAAACTTTATTTGGTCTTTGGGCTGCTGGTTGCTCTCGGGTTGGGCTTGGCTGCTTAGTTTTGAGCTGTGTTTTTGGGAACTGCTTTGTCCTAGCTCATTAATGTTTGAGCTGCTGTTTTAGCTCATTAGGTGGAGCTTGTTTCTTCCCCTTCTTGTGTCTCATTAATTTCTTCTTTGTGTTGTTCCCGTGACTTGCTGCTGGGTGTTAGTTCTGATTCCCTGTGTGGGTTTTTCGATTTCTCCCCCTGGCTGCTTTCCCGTGGCTTCTCTTACCCGTTTTCTGTGTTGGCTCTTCGGGTCCTTCCCTGGCTGTGTTCCCGTGGCTTCTCTTACCCATTTCCTGTGCTGATTTTTGGGAGCTATTTTGTGATATATGCTGCCCTTCCTCTTCCCCTTACCTAATTGATTTAAATGGGGGTTTTATGTGGCTGTTTGTCTCCTCTTTCTCTTCTATAAATATTAAGTGTTTTGTATTCAAAAGAGTTTTTAGTAAGATGTTATGATGATAATTTTTGGATAAAACCTGCGGGTTTCTTTGGAATCGCTTGCGAGCTATGTCCTCCACCTCTTCTCCTCTCTATAGCTTGCGAGCTATACTTCGTCTTGGCTTCTAATCTCATTCTTTTTCCTGCAAATATCCACCCCATCAGTACCTTTCTTCTCAATCAAGAAGTGCAACTTTAGGAGCTTTGTTTTAAATGATTGAAGTATCGTTTGTAAGCGTCCTTTGTTGCAAGCGTCATATTTTATCTATAAAGTTTGTTTTTATCGTATTTTGTCTTTTTTTTTTTGGAATTTTGTGTCTTTTCTATTTATCTAGGAAGTTTTTTTTTTTTTGCAAGCAAAAATTAGAGTTTTTCTATTTTTTTGCATACATCAATTTGGTATCAAAGAAAAGTTAGTATATCCTAGGTTTTGGTGAAGTTAGTGGTCATGTATGTGAGTATCATGTGAGTTTTGTTTGTAAGTCATGTTAGTTTTAATTTTCATGTGAGTTTATGGTTGTGTCTAAGTCTTGGTTGTTGTGTGAGTTTAGGCAAGAATGAGAGATGATCCAGAAAAGGTATGCAACTAAAATTCAAGAGCTAGATTCCCTTCCTTCGTCTCCTCGGATCAAATCTAAAGCAGCCTCATCGAGAGATGAGTTCTTTCAACCAGAGGAGAATTGATGTAGGCAAGGGGGAGTCAAAAATTTTCTTTGGTCTTTGGGCTGCTGGTTGATCTCGAGTTGGGCTTAGCTGCTTGGTTTTGAGCTGTGTTTTTGGGAACTACTTTGTCCTAGCTAATTCATGTTTGAGCTGTTATTTTAGCTCATTAGGTGGAGCTTGTTTCTTCCCCTTCTTGTGTCTCATTGATTTCTTCTTTGTGCTCTCGTGACTTGCTGTTGGGTGTTGGTTATGATTCCCTGTGTGGGCTTTTCGGTTTCTTTCCCTGGCTACTTTTTCATGGCTTCTCTTACCCATTTTCTATGTTGGCTCTTTGGGTCCTTCCCTGGTTGCGTTCCTGTGGCTCCTCTTACCCGTTTCCTGTTATGATTTTTCGGAGTTGTTTTGTGATATCTGTTTCCCTTCCTCTTCCCCTTACCTAATTGGTTTAAATGGGGGTTTTATGTGGCTGTTTGGCTCTCCTTTCTCTTCTATAAATATTAGGTGTTTTGTATTCAAGAGTTTTTAATAAGATGTTATGATGATAATTTTTGGATAAAACTTGCAGGTTTCTTTGGAATAGCTTGCGAGCTATGTCCTCCACCTCTTCTCCTCTCTATAGCTTGCGAGCTATACTTTGTCTTGGCTTCTAATCTCATTCTTCTTCCCGCAATTATCCACCCCATCAGTACCTTTCTTCTCAACCAAGAAGTGCAACTTTAAGAGCTTTATTTTAAAAGTTTGTAAGCATTGTTTGTAAGCGTTCTTGGTTGTAAGCGTCATGTTTTATCTATAAAGTTTGTTTTTGTCATATTTTGTTTATTTTTTGGGAACTTTGTGTCTTTTCTATTTATCTAGGAAGAGTTTTATTTTTGCAAGCAAAAATTAGAAATTAGAGTTTTCTAATTTTTTGCTTGCATCAGTATTTGTTTACTCCTAAGCAATGCTGGTTGTGTACGAGCCTCTATGTTCTATTCATGAACACACTATGACATTATTGTGATCAAATTGTTTCCCCTCGATGTCTGCTAGTGAGGCTGTGTACTCATCACAAGTCTTCCTTTTCATACAAGTGCATTGTTATACTTATGCAAGCATTGTACTCTTGCTCATAATTACATGTAGGCAGTTATAGTTCCTGTTCACATATTGTTCTTTGCATAAAATACGATCTCTACTTATTTATTTGCATTCATTTGAGTGAATGAGCTTATTAATTGATGTTTGTATTTTTAACTTGATTGTATGTTCATTGACTTAAAGTATGGTCCCTTGTTGAAATTGTTTGAGTTCAAATCTAGATCACCATCATGTCATTCAAGTCCTGGTCCCCTGTGGTCCATTTGTTCAAGTTCTACTTCTTTGTGCGAGTGTAAGTTCCTTGTAGTTGTCCCAAGTTACAATCTCAAGTCATTATTAATCGTTTAAGTTTTTAAATTCTGATTTAAGCTCAAGTCCAAGTCTCCTGTTCTCCTTTAGAAATCAAGTCATTGTCTTCCTTGAGACAATTTTGGTAGCCTTCCGACGTTTCCCCTGCTTGGGGAAAATTTTTGGAGTCTGGGCCTCTCGCCACGCTAGAGAAAAGCGTGCACGGGCAGTGTCGAATGACACAGAGGCCAAAAATCTTTCTCATCACGATAGAGAAAGGCGTGCATGGGTCGTCGGGCACCTATTTGAAAAATACATAGTTTTATATTCATCCCCACATCGTCGTAGGCATCGCACCGGGTTCCCTTCCCACCACGCTAGAGAAAAGTGTGCATGGGTTGATTTTTCGATGTGCTACTAACGCCGAAATGGAGTTTTAGAAGATTATCTACCTCGTCGTAATTATCACAATGAATTCCCTCTCACCATGCTAGAAAAAAGTGTGCATAGGTGGTTGTTCGTCGTGTTACAAGTGTCGAAACGGGGTTTCAAAGTTTTAGAATTTTATACCTACGTGCATCGACGGCGGTGCTGGCATATGGAACAAGAGGAAAGAATTTGGATTTTTCTTTTTACTTGTATTAATTATAATTAATTTTTAATTAATTATAACTAATTATTGTTAATAATAATTTGTTACAATTAAAATAATAATAAAGCATAATTAATACTAATTAATGATAACTAATTATAATTAGTAATAATAAGTTATAATTAAAAAATTAATTACAATTAACTTTAATTAATTATAGTTAATTATTATTAATAAAAATTAACTAAAATTAACAATAATTAATTACAATCAATTTTTCTTGATTATAACTATTTATTATTAATAGTAATTAATTATGATTAAAAATGATTAATTATAATTAATATTAATTAATCAAAACTAACTATTATTAACAATAATTAAAATAATTAATTTTAATTAATTGGGAGAGTTGGATTTATGTTGAGGGCTGTCGGGACATAGGATTTGTATAAGATTTGAGCAAGATTTGCTAAATCCTATTAAATACGGGATTGAGGGCATGACTAAATCTCACAGCAAGTTAATTCCTCCATTTCCTACTGTTTGTCGTGGTTTTGAGGGATCTGGCCAAACAAGCACACAAAAGGAAGGGAGATGGTTACCTCCACAGCAAGCAAGCTACAATCGTTACTTCTGATCTAACAGAGAAGAGAAGGGAACGTCGTTCGAGAAGGTTAGTTCGGCATCGGCTTCTCCTTCCCTTTCTCTCTCTATCTCTCTCTCTCTATCTCTTTGTGTGAGTCGGAGAAACTGGGAGGTCGGGCAAGACTAGGGCTTAGTCCTAGAGCGGTTCGAATAGAGTTGACTGCGGAGATGAGTGTTGGGGTCGGAGAAAGCAGCTAAGATCGGCGTGGATTCGGCTGGACTGGCGTTGAATTAAGAGGTCGACGGGGACTTGAGTTCTAACGGCTATGGCTGGATCGGGTAGAATAGAGGTTCAGAGGTTTTGGAGTCGGTTAAGGAGGATGGGAAGCTCGGGAAGATCGGAAGCTTGTAGGGCTTTTGCGTGTGGGAAGAAGACTCGATCAGATGGAGGAGGTTCGACTGTGGGAAAGAATAGAACCGAAAGGCTTCATTTGGTCAGCTTTTAACGATGTTGAAGAGCAGCGATCAAGGTGCTCTGAATAGGGATCCCGCGAGGAGACGCGAACGGCGCCGAATGCGATTCGGCGGGATTTCAGGCAGATATCGCGAGGATTCGGTGGATGTGAGCAGGTATTTTGTATTTTGTATTTTTTTGGAATTTCTTTTGGATTTGTACAATAGAGGTCAACATGACCCTTCTGTCAGGTTGGTCGAGTACTTCCTCCTACTAAATAGATTACGGATCATGATGGCCCGAGACGACAGAACCATGGGATCTTGATCAGGTCCATCATCCATTCCCCCGCTATTTGCTTTAAGTGCAAGATGGTCCAATTTCAAATTTTAAATATCAATTCTTCAACTATTCCAAATGCCCACGCTGCTACTATATGCCGAATGTGTATTCTCTACTTATCTGATCGATGACTAGCCTTAATAGAAAGTTCTCTCTCTTTATTGAGAGGGGTAATTAACTATAGGGGCTTGTGCCTATAGGAAATCAGAACTCATATGATAAAGTCCTCGCAAAATGAGGGTGAAATCTCTGGATAGTGTCTTTTTCTACAAACTCATCTACCTTCCAAAATTTACCCCAGAACTTAATCCGTTAAAACTCCCCAAAAAAAACCAGCAAGGGAGGTCGGGGCCGAATTTTCTGAGCCTAGAGTTATTTACAAAATTTCAATGATTGAGTTTTCATGGACATAAGTCTATCTCTTCACAAAGTTAAATTCATTGAGAAAATATTCAAAATCATCTTTGGTGTGCAACTAAAGAGAGCAAGAGAAATTGATGAGAGAGAATGCATGATGGGACATTCACTCTTTCTCTATCACATTATTTTCTCTCTATTTCCACATTTTTCTACCTCTCTCTAGTTATTGAATAGCACCCCTGAATATTTTTTCAACTTCACGAGTATCTAACTTGCAACATTAAAATAGATGCTGTGATGATATCCGCAGAGTATCAGAAACAGAAGATTTTCTTGAGCAATGGATTGTCTGAAGCACTGGCCAGATAACAAGAATAAACAGAGAAGATGGATTAACCAAGCCAATCTCAAATAACTGGGACTAGGTTGTTGCTACTGATGATGATTATTATGATGATGCCAAGTAACAAAAATGAAAGCATACAAATCATGTGAGGAAAAAGGATGGAGCAGAATAAAGAATGTTCTTTTGAAAATTCAGAACATATTCAGATTAAACACCTGGGAGATTACCTCCTTTTCTGCAAGAACATAACCCTTTCATGCGCTTAAGAAGAAAGCAAGAAATTGAGTACCTGGTAAACGCTCTCGTTTCTCCTTAGCTTTATACGCTTCTTGTCATCAGTTTTGGTCGAGATAAGATAGCCATTATCAGTTAACAAACGATATTCCTGGCGGAGCTCCACCAGAGCAATATGTTTACCCGAAATAGCATATAAAATGGTTCCATCTGTTCATGAAAGTTTGATGCACACTAAAAAGATCTGTGATTTTAAGAATTTTTTGTACAAAGTAGTAAATACTTTAATCCTATTACTACCTAATGGAACAGAAAAAATTCGATCAACCTCTTTTTCAAATAGAAACTGCGCAGGGCTTTGATTTGAAGCAACTTTGTTTTCTTCCATTGATTCAATATTCCTGTTTTGCTCTAGGAGAGTCAACCCTTGAAACTTATGCAAAGAAAGACTTGTTCTTTCTTCATCCAGTATGGCATATTGATTCTCATTTGGACCAATAAATGCTGCATCTCGACCTATGCAAGTGCAACATCAATGTAAAGTAAAATGGTAAAGAACTTGTACTGATAAAACGAATAATGATTTGACAAACCTCTTAGTGAAGTTCCTTTACAGTAAAATGACTGTACCTCAGTCTTAAGAACAACTTCATGTACGGAACCCGCAGGGCCGCTTAATTCAAACACAACAATAAACAAGTGTTGCTTTGAACTGTAAAGCATATTAACAGGAAAGCATTCTATAGGTGTAGAAATCTGAAAGATAAAATCCTTTTTAAAAGTAGACCAAGATGACTATACAAGTTAGAAGAGATCTATTTAATTCAATTAGTACCGTTGAGTAAAGTTTCTTGTAGATATTTTCTGCTCCTGATGATAGGTTATATGCCATCAAGTTGAAGCTATCTAAATAAAAAGCTCTCACAGGATAGCGTAGGACATGATTCTCTTTGTTGAAGAAATTCAGTTCCAAATGGATTGGCTGAAAGAGCAGGGTTGAATTCAGTTAAAAACAGCAAACTGAGGGGACAACTTTTTGCAAGGCTGCAGTAGTGACCTTACAAACTGGAACATCTCTCAGTTGATGATTTGCATCAGAAACAGTGATAAGTGGCAGCCGAGGTATCGGGCCACTACTTGCATGTCCCTCCATGAAATGCTGCATGGATTATGGCAAACGAATTAATTGGGTGGTTACAGCCAAATTTGAAAACAGGAAAGTACATAAACCACGAGTATGAATTCAATATAGAATCAGGTTCACATCACTTGCATTGCTAACTACAACACATGTTGCTCAGGTTTTCCATATTAATTCAATGAATTATCATATAATAAAGTTGATTCTCATATAGAAAACAAGTAAACCTAGTATTTTTTGTCAAGATTTGACATTTGCAAAACAATCTCTGAAAAAATGAAAGCCATGTAAAGATTAGGATTTACGACACAAAATAAAAATCAAATTATAGCAAATTTGAGCAAATGTCAATTACACCTACAAATCAGTAAGTAAAATAAAAAAGAGATATTGAGAGAAATCACCCAAGTGTTAAGCCAAGCTTCAATCCAAAACTAGCAGAAATATTTCCTAGAAAGTTGTCATCAAGAATGGCGCCATATTAGAAGAATTTACCTAGCATGAACTGAGTTGTAGGTATTTTTTAAATTAACAAATTGCATATGGAATGTCAAAATTATTAAAATAGGATTCCACATTAGATTCAAATGAATGTAATAGAGAATGATAAACTATTGCAACAATGTTGCGTAAAATCACTCGAATGTTGCCCATTAACAAAATGAACTGCGCCGGTGCCTTTGAAATGTCAAAATTATTATTAAGAAATAATACTCATGTTGTCCAAGTTCCCACACAAGATAAATTGGGAATAGTCTACTCTACATGAAAATAGAATTCAACGTGCACAAGTGATGAAAATTTGATTATCAAGTTTTATTATTATTATTATTATTTTATCATCAAGTTGATAAGCAATTAAAATAAGTTTTATATATATATATATATATATATAT